TTTCGGCGGGGAAAGGGCAGCAGCTCTGTGTCATCTCTGCTCCGTCTGCCAGAATGGGAGGCTGGGAGATGTCAGCTATTTTGCCTATAAAGAGGATCGGCAGACAATGACACAGCCTGGGGGAGGATATGCCTAGTTAAAATCTCCCTGAGATCCAGCCAGGAATGGAAAAGGATGCAGGCGAAGTATGAGCAGAGGCCCTTGAGACAGGCACTTCTTGCAATCACTAGAGTTTGGCTTGATGCCGTTCCCAAGTAAAATACGGGATAGATTTTTACTCTAAAAGCAAACAACCTGACCCAGCAAAGCCTTGTTAGATGTTGGCTAAATCTGGCATTAAAACTGCAAGGGCATTTAAAAATGCTCTCTCTGATGTACAGAATGAATTCAGACTAATTCCTCAAATGATTGCATTGTTTAGTACCGAGTAACATTAGCCAGCTTGTAAAAGGTAAATTGCAACCTTAGCCCTTCCCTTAACTTGATTAATTTTGATCACTGGAGCTTGTTTTAGCTATTATCTTTCCCAAGTGGTTTCCTTTTATGTGCTGCCATTCACAAACTGTTAACATGCAAACAGAGATGATATGGGAACCCGATACCTGACAATAGCATGTGCAGGCTCCTTTATGCACTATTAAAGCGATATGGTCTTCACTCAGAGGGCTTAATTGAAAAACAATTATACTGCAAAATGCTTTAGATTACGATTAATCAAGCCCTGTCAAAGCCAGTAAAAATGCACGTTACTTGACAGCAAGCAAAGCCGCTGTATTCGGCCCCCTAGTAATTTCTGCTGTGCTCTTACCTAATGGCAATATTCCATACAGCGCTATTAGCTGTCTGACATCTGCGAGAGAGGGCATCGGCTCTACATCTACCTGACGAAGTGTAGTCCCCAGATAGCTGTACTCGCCTGTGGGGAGGAAGCACGGGTTTAATAAATGTGACACTGCCTTGTTATAAAAATGCATAACTCGAGTAATGAAAAACTGCCATCGAATACCAATATAACGTGCTCGCAGAAAACCCAGTACCGTTGAGGGACAGGGACTGGAACAGGGCAATGTGGCCCCCAGAAATCTAAAAGGTGAACTGCAAAGGAAAATGAAGTTAAACACACTGTGGAGTTTCCCTTCCAGACCGAGGAGGGTGTGCGGCAGACCAGCCACTCTCCAGTAACCTTTTAAAGAAACTTTGTGGAGAAGAATCATTAGCAGCACCATAAATCACACTACTAGCAAAAGGCTTCTAGATTTGGGGTATTGTAGGGCTGGAATCCCAGTGAACCACGCTCTATCAAAGGGGTTTCAAAAAGGGGGAAAAGATATTTAAGCAGCTTTTCCTCTGGCTGCATCACACCTCAGCTCCTTGCTATGTTAGACATCGAAGTGTGGCACCTAATTTGGTGGGGCTCTTGGCTTTGCAGTTCACCTTTTTTTTGTGGGGAAAAAAAAAACAACAACCAAACAAAAAGCCCTCCACAAAATGACCCAAGGAAACTAAAAATCCACGACATGAACTGAAATGATCTAATCTTGCCTCATTTCTGGTTACAGAGCCATAATCGCATCGCTTGCCCTGTCAAAGTCCATCTACAAGACATGTTAGAGAACACAGATCCAGAGGAATGGGCCACAAGCAAGAAAACTCCTTGTGACAGTGTAGTCGATGATTTATTTTTTAGCACCAAATACATGTTGTTCTGGTGAATCTTACTGGAAAATAGTAGTACATTATGTTTTATTGGAGAAACAAAGGGAGAGCGCTAGAGCTCTGTGGAGCAGAGGTAAGTTAGAAATGGTTAAGAGAGAAAGTGGAGTTGTAATTTGGGGGCAAAAAGGCAGGCAAGCCCTGGTGCAACAGCCCCCTCCCCACTGAAGAATAAAATTCATTTCAGGTTTTATCTTTTATTTAAGGAGAATCAAAAGAACTGGATAGGAATTAATCTTCACAGATTTAATTAGAAGGCATCAAAGGGTTTAATTGCAACCGAACATAAATCACAGTGGATATTCTCTGACTAATTTAGATAAGGTCACCAAGAAAATTAGTTCAGTGATGTCAGTTTGTCATAGAGGGGGGACGTTTCAGTGCCTTTACTTGCTGTGTAGCGCAATTCCACTCTTTGTCCTTTCCCCAGGATCTGGGAGTGAGTGACCTTCCTTAGATCAACTCTGTAAGAGCAGAGCAGATGAGGACTTGTTTTCCTGCAGACTTTGACTGTGTCCTTGGAACCTTAAAGGGGGAGATGTTTTGGTATTTAAAAAATCAGGTCCAAATCCTAGGCTAACTTTAAATGCTTTCTGCATCTTGTTCTGGCAGCTCAAAAAGCACGACAGATTTTTGAGCGGGGAAGAGCTGGCATGGACAGTCTGGGCCACCTCCTTGCTGTTGGGTCTGCACAGGCCAGTATCTGTGCTGGGACACGCAGGGGACCTGGCACGGGTGTAGGCAGCCAGGAGAATATTGCTAGACTCTGCGCTTTTGCACCCAGTATCTTCTGCTGCTGGGAAATGAATATTGCTGGTGGAGCTTGGAGCAGCCCTCGTGCTGCTCTGCGCTGCAAAGGAGCCAAGGCTTCCAACCTTGGGGTCAAGGGAAGGTGGCCCCAAGCCATCTCAGCCTGCTTCCAAGTGTGATGGGACCAGCTGTTAATGATCCCTGGGGTTGGATGTACTCTAAAAACATCTGTGGTGGGGAATGCCTGCTGGACATGAGCAACCTTGATGGTACTGGCTGGGTGAACGAAGGAATAATGAAAATTCTCCATTACTTCATGATCTTTCATGAGCGTAAAATGGATGGAATGCTTGTCAATTCAGCTGTCAACAGAGCGGGTGAAGCCTCTGAAGGCAATAACTGGTGCTTCTGAGTGTTTATGTGAACATGGCATTTAGTGTGAGAATCCAGCTTTTTTCTGGTTCAGATACATGCTGTCCTAACACCCAGGGGCACTGTAGCTTCTGGATGTCTGCAAATTCAGATAACGGTGGCCTTTGAAACAACTGAATTGGGGGGTTTTTGCTGCTAAGGCCACTGTGATTTTACTGTATGTCACTAAATGATTTTGGAGATGGTGTCAGATCCCTGTGCAGCCTGCAAGTGGTTTGGTTTTGGTGGTTTTTTGGTTGTTTTTTTTTTTTTTTCCTCTGTGTGGAGCATAGGCAAGCATGTCTGACTGCAGCTGCAGGTAATGCAAATGGGGCAAGAGGACCATGAAATGCAAAACTAGGCAGAGACGCATCTTACTCAAATCAAGGGCCAGACATGCCTGAAAGCACTGCTCAAAGTTCAGGGGCAGTCAGGGAGGTGGAGGCAAGGGGGCGACTCTGCTGAATGAACGCATGCTGAAGGTAGGATTTTTACTGTTTTTTGGGAAATATTCTGGATGGATTATTTCTGTTATACTTCAGGGTCTTGCTAACATCTGGTCAGTGTTCCTTAAAGGATGTCCTGGTTCCACACCAGAGTGGCTTGTGACAGTTAAAAACATTGAAGACTCCCAGGCGTTGGTGCCTGCGGCCAAGCACCAGCTGCAAACAGGTCCTGGGTCAGCAGCAGCAGTGAAAGGCACTACGGACCCTGCAGAAACAGACTTGATTTGCATACATGGCTTTAGATATTCAAGTTGGGAAGTCCTGAAAACGTAATTACTCCTGATCTCACCCTTGACTGGAAATAGGGGTCAGTGAACATTGAAGGGCTGGCGGTTTGGTTAGACTGAAAACCATACTAGCTGTAAAACGTGTACTTTACCAACATAGTCGGAGAGATTCACGGTCTTGGCTTTTATTAGTAATCCTTCTTCCACTAGTTCTCTGTACAGAGAATCGATGGTCCTACAGACAAGAGACATCACTCAGAAACTCTAGGGAACTGTAAGTAAAAGCTCAGTCCTTCAATAACTGAACTAGCTGCAGAAGTATTTATGCTTTCTCAGCTTTATAAATGTATTTTGTAGCTCAGAGGTCAAAGTGATTAGCTCCATCAATATGAAATCAGTAAGTGGTTTTCTGCGTTATGGCAAGGAATCTCTTTTACCACTTCCCACCCCACATGCCTCCCTCACACCGATTCCATTACCCATTTCCAGGTGATGCCAGATCAGTTGTGACTTGTGTAATAGACTCATTCATTAATATCAATTACTGGGAAATTATTTTTAAATTATATAATAACAGCAACCCTAACACTACTATTCCTATTCACTTAGCTCTCCAATTATTAGTAATTCATTAATTCTTCCTGGAATTTACTCTGTTTGCAATAGACAGCCTCATCTCATCAGGAACATACTGGGAATGACTTGACCAGAGCAACCAGCGGTCCCTCTACTGCAGGGCTAGGGTGAGGATGGCCAAAGGACGATTTGGGAGAAAACCAGTGGAAACTCTGGCATATAACGGCTCCTGCCTGTCTCCACTAGCGGCTGGAAAGAGCTCCTAGTAACTGCGGATTTAATACACTGACATTTGTATCTAGTTTTCTGTTGGTGTAGATGTTCTACTTAGAACTCCAAAAGAGAGAGCAAGTATTAATTTCAATGACATTATTGGCACTTGGTTCTACAGATTGCTACTTCTTCAAGGATTACATAAGATGAATAAGCCTGCTGGAAATTCTTGTTGTACTGTTAGTATAAACAATACCGATTTGAACCTTTCCAGGTCTTTCACTGTTTGTGCACTTCTCACATCCTCCCTCTTCAGTATCTCAGCTTTTTTGTCTGTCGCCTGTCTTAATTGGGGCATGCTGATATTGCTACAATAAAAATATTTAATAGCAACTCTCAGCTGGCTAATAAAATCATATATATATTTTGGGGTCTGCAGGCTTTTTCCATTTCAGTTGGGCAGTTTTATGTTTATGCAGCTAGTGGCACAATTAATATAGGAGTAGTAACAAGGAAATAAAAAATTCAACGCACCTTCAGCAACATTGATTTTGCCACTCTGACTTTTGCTTTCATTCTCAGAGATTTTATGTTGAGTATGCATTATAAAACAGGCAGAAGGTAGAATGGGACTAAGCTGACAGTTCTGTTGGGAGCATGACTTCTACTTTTCCTGTCTTATTTTTACCGTGCAAGCTTAATGATGCATGCCCTGAGTCTCCTCCAAGTGAGTGTGATGTGATCAGTCTGCTGACTAAAGCCCCCTGTGCCCCCCTCTACCCTGCCAAAATAGAGTTGAACCCCAGCTTTTCTTGGTTATTTCTGAAATGCTTCCTCCTTCCCTGCTCAGCAGGGAAGAGCAGAGCATATTGGAGCCAAAATGCCACATAAACTCTGATTAAAAGCCAGCTACTAAAAAGCTTGTGTTCTTAAATGGCTCTATGTTGCATTAAGTGTATATACAAAGCATCGAGTATGTGCAAGAATAACTTTAAAAGCACAGAATATATGCATACTTGCTAGAATTTGGCACTGTTCTTGTAAGAGGGGTCCCACTCTGTTATAATCCATGACACATGTATTTTAAATAAGTTTGGAGAGGGTTTTTTATTTATTTTAAAGCAGGTAAAGAGATCATTGACTGACTGCATAGTGCTAGCACCCAAGTGATCTAGTCCAGGTCTTGCACAAAGGGATTTGTGGGGTGAAGCCCAGGCGGTGTTTGTCTGTGTGCTGTTCTCCAGCCCTGCTCTCCTGGGAGCCCGGTCTGCTCCTGCCCAGCGCTGCTGCTGGGTCAGCAGCTCCCAGCGGCGATAGCTCTGCCTACGTGTCTGCGTTGTGTGTACGGGTGAAAAATGGCTGTATTTATCAACGCATGCATCGTGAGCTCATTGAACATGTAATGTCAGGAGAAGAAATCCTCTCAAATCCTCCAAATAAAATCAGGGTGCTTAAAAGAGCAAGGGTGCACCAGAAATTGCCAGGTCTGCTAGAACTCCTATTGATAAATAGGACTGATTTATGATATGTGCGTTATACCTCAGACATGCAGGGTGATTTATAGGGTCCAGGGGCCTGTCTGTAGCCTCCCTTATCAGGCTTCAGCTAGGATGGAAACTCTGACAGTCAACAGAACTGCTAGGTGCTGCTGCACCTGCAGAGAGAATGGGAGAGGGGCGAACGGGGCCAACATCCTGCCTAAATGTTACGTGTGCTTTGCTTTGCATACTGGAACTAACCTGGCTGAAGATGGAGACCGGTCCTAGCGGTGTGTTGCAGAATGGGGATCTCAATTTGTATGTGCTGTTGAAGATGAGGAACAGCAAGGTGTGTGCTGTGTTCCACTGAAGCACTGGTTGGTGTGCTTTGCTGCCCTGTTATTTGTGGTGCTGCCGGGGAGCGGCAGTGGGAAGGTTGTGGTGTTCACTGGGAATGCCAAAGAGGTTTCAGCTAAAGTGTATGTGCTTCAGATTTGTAAAAGGTGGTTTGTTTTGCTTTTAATGGATATTTATAGCTGTTAGTAAAAAGGTTTTATGTGTTGTGGGGCCACTGATGCTGGTAAGCGGAGCAGTGTTGAGGTGCTCCTTGTGTAATTAAAAGCTAAAAGGGTTGATAGCATACCTAATGCAAAGAGGATAGAGGCTCATTGTCTGAATCTCAGGTAAACAGGTCATCACTTTACCTGTCAGGAGTTAGATCTTCCTCCATCTCAGGTATCTTTTTCTTTGCGGCTGTCTTCTTTTTCTGAGGACCACAAAACCAGGCAGGAATTAGTGACCTTAGTACATACATACATGCATATATATATATATATATATACACACACTTTTTTTTTTGTTTTTAACGTACTGAAGCCAAGTGAGGGCCAGAACAGCAAATGTTTCAGTGTTTGAATGTGGCCCTTGTTGCTGAAGGAACCCAAAGGGAAAAATCACACCCTCAAATGCCCTGGGGGAAAGAAGTCATGTCCCCATTTATAAAAGCACAGGAGATGTTCCCATTTCAAGTACCTCCCCAAGGCAGGGGAGAGGGAAGCCCCCCTGGGCTGAGGAGCTGTGTCCAGCTTGCAAGGCTCCAGCAGATGCTGGGGCAGGGGCTCTTGAACTGGACTCGCATGAAGTAACCTGGTGGCTGCTGTTGCTTCTAGAATACAAGCCCATACACCTGCCCTGCTGCTGTCACCTCCCTGGTGAGTGCCCCAGAGCACCCTGCTTCAAAGGGGTCAGTTCTGCCCCTTCCAGGGGAGGCTGCTTACAAAAGAACCCCAGGGTCATTTGCTCCGAGAGAGAGCAGAAACTTCTCACCTTCGTTTTTGGAGCATGGCTCTGTGGGTGAGCAGATGTGGCCCTTACCCAAGAGGGAAGCAGGAAGGAAAAGGGTGTGGGGTCCAAGTAGCTGCTCCACAGACTGTTCATGATTTTTTTATTTTTAAAATGGGGTAAAAGGTCTAAGCAGCTTCCCTGAGGGTCACGCACTGTGCTTACAGCTGGACCAGGACCTGAACCCAACTCTCCCAAGTCTCTGGCTAGTCCCCTAACCGTCAGACATCCTTCTGCCTCCTCTTTCCTAATGCCTCAGGGAAGAACCCTGAAAAGCATGTCCCTTCTCTTGATATTTTCACCACTCTTTCACTACGGGAAGATTTTGACTTGCGTGATTAGTTTCTTTACATTTTGCAGAAACCCCCCAGAAAACATAAATAAGAAGGATGTGGATCAGTAATGTCAAGCTCCTCCATTAATTACAGCTCACAAGCCGTAAATACAGTTAAGATTGATTAGCAGAGGAAAGGGCATCGTTAATCCATGGGAGTGCCCACTGCTGGTGTCCACGCTGCAGTTCTCCAAAGCCCTTTAGAGTTACTCCAGTGGAACTATTTACACAGCACTTGTGCACCAGGGGATTTCTTCAACGGCTTAAATTTAAGTATGTGCTTAAATGCTGAGTTGATCAAGACAGCTTATTCTTTCCAAAAGTTTATGTTTGCTTTCCTGGGAATACAGTAATCTATTTTTTTAAATAGTGAGTACTTCTGCAGAGCTCTAGAGGCTATGTTGTTGAGTTAAAAAATCCTATCCAATTATCTGGTAAATGCTGGTGGTGGTGGTTTTTTTTTTTTTTTTTTCTAGAATGGATCAATAGTGTTCAGAAATACATCAGTTGTAAGTTTTCAAGGACAGTTGCCATGCAAATAAACTGTGGTTCACCCACCTGTTACTGTTGGCAGGGTAACAAAGATAATCCAGATGAAAATGTAAATGAAACCCAGAACTATATGGATAAGCTAACTGGGAAAAGGGATGTCTTTAAGTTTTGGATTTGAATAATGCAAACTACTCTGTATCTGCAAAACTACACCTCGGGTTTCCTTACATAAATAAGGTTGGCAGCAAATACTCGTTAGAATGTGCCAGTGGGGTTTTGTTTTAAAGAAAAGGCATGGGAGGAACAAAGCATACATGGCATGCTGGTCTAACAACCGAGGAAATACTGAGACTGTCAGCGGTTCACTTCTGGTTTTCCTCCAGCTTTGTCTCTTTAACCTTTCTTCTAACAAGCTAGAAATTACATATCACGGGGTCTGATGAGGAAGAAAAGCTCATTTCTACCTAAGCAAAGACACTAAGCATATGTTGAATTTATTGGCCAACTGGTATTATCCTCGAGGCAGCTTCACCAATAAAGGAACTCAACAGCAAAACAAAAATGAACTATGCAGGGGAAAAATGTGTTTTCCTAATTAACACCAGCATTTATGGGAAATTTGGCAAACGCTGAGATGAGATAAGGGGAAATATGAATTGTAGACAATGGCTTTCCTCCAAAATGTCTTATTGGGAATGGCTTTTATTTAGAAAGTGATAATGTTTAATGAATGTGAACACGCTTATCATTTATAATGGGAATCTTGTTTCTATCTCTGAACTGTCAGTCTAGCTTCTGTGTAGCCATCCATTTACTCGGGTATTTTCTGCTTTGATAAGACACATGTAGTGAACTGCATCAGCTGTTAGTTGGCAGATGACAGAAGACTCTCTTCCGTGCTCAGCGTGGCATCTCGTCTGTGTGGGCTCGTGAAAATGCTGCGAGTAGCTCAGAGGCTGCTGTGAGCAGCCACGGACCTGATTTTAGCCCCGATTCCAGCACAGAATATCTTTGGCATCAGAAGGGAGAGGGTGACCAAAATGTCTTGTTGGGGGGACTGTTCCACGTTGGAACTGCAGGAGCTGTGTCGCCCTTTGGCTGTGACTGTACAAGTCCTGCTGCCATCAGCTGTCGGCAGCTACCGCCACTGAGTACGTGGAAAAGTAACGAGAGAAAAGCACTCCTGTGGTTTAAGGGAAATAACAAGTGCATAAGCAGCAGTCTCTGAAATGTTGGAGTGGACTCCTTGGGTGATGCGTGGATGGCAGGTTGAGCAAGGGTCACACTGTGTGTGCACCCGCTCTGGACTGAGAAGCCTTTTCTGGCAATGTCAAGGTACCTGATACTTGTACTGAGAAAGTCCTTCAACAAAGATGTTCCCACTGATTATTAAGCTCTTGCAAAATGAGGGGCTGTGATCTGTAATCCCTGTTGGATTTGGCTACAGCACCCAAAGAGGTTACAGCCGCCACAGCTGGCTGAGAGCTCGGGGTGCTAATCCCTATCAGCAACAGAAAATCCATCAGGGACTGGGAATCGCTGTCCTTACACCCAGCCTTCCCCCAGGTCTGACCCAGTCTGTCTTCTGCCCTGATTCACTGTGGCTTTGCTCTTATCAAAGCTTTAGACTGATGTCAATGTTCTTGTCACAGTCACTGCTGTAGTTAACATCTTGTGGCTTTGTTTGCTTCTGCCCGGCTGCATCACCAAGGGATGTGTAAAGCTGCACTGAGATGCTACTGAGGCCTCTTTCAGAAGCAATTTTTACACACTTAGGTTCCCATGTCCCCTGTTTCTGTTGTTTTTCTGAAATCTGGTCATGCCTTTGTGTACGTGTGGGTGTGGTCACTTGCAATGAGTTTCTTTACCTGCAGTTGGATCGGAAACAAATCCTTGGGGGGAGCAAAGCAGGAAAAGGAGCACAATGGGCTTGATAAAAAGCTCTCTGATAAGCACCAAAATGTAACTTCCAGGTCAGGAACTGCAGAGAGCTGCTCTGTCAGCTCTCACATGGGGTGGAAAGCCAGTTTAAAGAAGTAGGTCTGCGGTGGTTTACTTGGTTGCAGGTTCCCAAGAGAAACAACACCCTTGGGCTGCTAAGCCCTCGGGTACCACGGCTGGGTACATGGTATCCATCTAGAACACGGGTATATATACAGATACAAGCATACGAGATCCACGCCTCAAATGATAGCGGTGTGGCTTGTTGCGTATTGGGTGCCATCTCATTAGTTTAGGTGTTTCCAGACTAGCCTCATGGTCTGGAGACCCGTTTGTAATGGGACAAGCAGTTTGCCCTTCCACCCAAATGATTCCTCCACAAAGGTAGTAAATGGGCGTTTTATCTCAGGGCACTAAGAGCAACTCTTGATAGGGTTAATGCCAGCTTTTAGTATTAAGTGGTATTTGAAGGTTGGGAGCAAGTGATAACGTTCAGCCTAGAAAGTGTGGTTAAATTTTGTTTATCTAAGTCCTGAGCCATCTGAAACACCACTGGAACAGAGCCATTATCTGCCTTATGCTTTCCTTTTGGAGTCCAGTTCCAAAATGTCCTCAATGAATTCTCTGCAGAAGGGACTTCCAAACAGGATTTCAAACTCAAATTATTTCCCATGGCTCAGGCAGACTTACTTTAATATGGACTTGACAGAATTTTTTTTTTTTAAGAGTTGTAAACTACTTATCCTAAGGTGTGCTTGAAAAGGCAGAGGTTATCTATTCTTTACACCTCTGGGCAGTGACTCTTCCCTGACAACAAAAAAGCCCTGGTTCTACTGCTGTGTCTTCCTGGAAAGAAAATAGAAGAAATCCATCCTTAGAACAGAGAGGAGGCCAAATGTGGCTTCATGAATTCTGTCCCTATACAGAAAACTTTGCTTGTAAGAGTTCCCTTAAAAAAAGGACAGGGTGCAGAAAAAGGTTTGTATTCTCTGAAGAATGTTGAATCCTCCTGTGAATGTCTTCTTTGCAGAATATCCCTTTTTTTTGGGAAAAAAAAAAAGTTTTATTTCGTGCTCCAGATGTGTTTATGGCCACAATGAGAATCCAAACCCACTGTTATTTCACACTGCATAGTGTTTCGGGGCAGACATGTGGGACTTAGGAAGTGGTAACACATGCCTTGAAAAACTAGGGGATTTTTGCTGAGTAACAAATTAATCAGCTGCTTCCAAAACCTTCTAGCTCATATTATGCTTGTTATATAGGTCAGATCTTCCCAAAGCAGATCTGAAGTCTGTATGCACAGGTACCCACATACTGTGTTGGTTTATGGACTGAGATATTTATGCAAATACTATTTAGGAAAAACCTTTGACATTTCAAATAGTTTTGCACAGGGAAGATGTGTTTTGACTAAAACTAGACACCTTCTTCCATTTCCCACCCTTAAAATAGAACTGATTTTTTTTTTCAGAGAGTGAAAATCTTTAGGGAACTTGTATTATTTAATTAGCACTTCTTTCCCTTCTTCTCCCTTGCCTCATTCTCTCAGGCTACTGGCACAACTTGGGAAAACAAAAGTTAAATAACCTCCCTCTACCCAAAACCATTCCAACACTATATTGAAGGGAAAAAAAGCCAAACCAAAAAACCAAAAACCAACCCTGACATGAAGCTTTATCATTCCCATGTGGCATTTTGAAGCAGAGTTTTGACCAGCTGATCTGAATGCATCTGCCCATGGCAACTTGGGGAAGATTGTTGCAATATTTTGTCTGTGTTATCTTAAGCCTCGCTATTTTTGAAACACATTTAGCAATCCAATTGGTATCGCTTTTCAGAGCCGTGCCAGTCTTGCATTATTAAATTGCCCCGGCACCTTTGTCAGGTGAAAGAGCATTTTTGGAGAAAATTCGAGCAGAAGTACTGCAATAGCAAGTATTTGCATGCTAAAAGGATTATAGAAATGAAATACAACATGAGGTGAGGGTTGGCTATTTGCCCTGAGGAGTCTAAGTGGCTCTGCTGATTGAATGGTAGGGTCTGTAAGCTCGGAGTTATTTTGCACTGACATGATCTATAGTTTGAATGCCTGGGTAAGGAATTTGGGGAACTGTGGAGCTGTGGAATTCTGCATATGGTAATGCAGTGAAAACTAGATGTGAACATAACATGTGCTGTGTTTCAGGGGGTAACACACATTAAAATAACATATCTCTTTAACCTATTTTATATGCTTAAGTAAACTTGGCTTAATTGCAAGTTCCCCAACCCTTCAACAGCAAGCAGTAACATAGTTAAACGATGTGTACCTGGCTGTGTGTAATCCGTGTGTTGCTACAGATAAATGAAAGGTTACACCAAGACATTCAAAGTTAATTTTTTTTTTTTTTGGTGTACAGTTTTGAAACGCACAAATCAGTCCTCATTTAGAAGGAAAACAGCCAGCAGCTGGAAAACTTACTGGTATCCAGCTTCATACCTGCCTTGGAAGACTGTCTTGATCTGAACCTCTCATCTTAAAGAGAGGGCTGCTTGGGTTTTCCTGCTTGGCTGGAGCAGAGGATTTCAAGAGGGTGTGCATCCCATTACAAGGTAGATCCCTCTTGAAAATCCGATCTATCATGTAATGATTTTTCCCTGGAATAGTTCAATGTGTCCTAAGCAATATTTACAAAGGTTAAGGAATAACAACAGCTAAAGGAAAAGCCCTGAAAAAAAGCCACAGGTGAATAGATGTTAAATGCTTCTGACTTGAGATTCGGAAGATGCTTAGGGTGGACATTTTGATACTGGTATCTGTGAGAGCAGGGTTTGCACTGAATACTGCTGTATCTGGGCAGAGAACTGATGTTTACCCTGAATTATCTTACCTTGTCACTTTTTCTTCCTTTTTTTGGTTTGCCACTCTTCTCTCCATCCACAGCCAGTCTGAGATCCTCCAGTTTCCGCTGCATCAATTCATCAACCTAGCCAGACACACACAGTTGAGTTTTTCTCACTCTTCTGTTCTGCCACCGCACCTCAGACAAACGTTCAGCTAAACAAGTGTTGAAGCAAAGAACAGAGAGTAGGGACTCTGGAAGGAGGCAAGGTCTATTCCAGGGCCAGTTCTTGTAGCTGTTAGAGAAATACACACAGGCAACGCACGCTATTAGTGTCCTCTTACTATTGTAAGCACACCTGCACTCTGATCTCTTCCTCCACTTCTTCCCGTTTCTTTTCTTTGATCAGCTCCGGGTCGTGATCCTGGAGAAAATCCCATCTCTCGTCTCTGTTCTGCCAAACGGCTGTTATCCAAAAGAAAGAAAAAAAGGAGAAAAAAAGCTACAGAAGCCATTGGCTTCTCCAACTGCTTCTGGAGGTGAAAAATAGGTAGTTATAGGCAACTTCTATTAAATTATTAGCTGTATGAAAGTAGCAGGCTCTAGGGACCCTTACCAAGTTCAGAGCCCTGTTGTGCTAGGGTTTGTAAATCTTGAGGTAACTTTTTTTTTTTTTTCCTTGGGCTGTAAATTGGTATCAGATTGCAGGAGGATAACGGGATACAGAGGCTGTCATTTTCAGGGTGTAAAGCCGAATGCCTGGAGTGGTGCTCACCCCCAAGAGCAGGCAGTACGGTATCGGCCGAAACGCGCATTCATTTTCTATCTGCTTAACAGCAGAGGCATTCAAATTAATTGAGAGGCGTTCAAAACCCTTCCCAAGGCCCACCTGACGCAGCACCTCCGTTTCTTAGTGTTGTGCAAAGGATAAGCAACAAGGAGACCTAGCTCCAGGAACAAAGCAAGCTTGTGGGAGCCGTTGATCAAAATCCCTGGTTATGATAAAGCCGCTAATGATCCTGAGGTGCCACTCCCTTGTTTTTGTTCAGGCAAAGTGCAATTTGCTCTTTAGAAAGAAAACCAAACGAGGTCTGTCAAGCTCGGTGCATATCTGAATTCTCCGATATTAGCAAAAGGTATTTTTTTCTAATGGAAATGCCTCTCTTCTTTCCACATTTTTTAAGCTAATTTGAAGGAGGACAATTCATATCTTTCATTTCCTTGCATTTTAAGCCCAGATAGTATCTTTATAAGTGACAGCTAATCTCCAGCTGTATGTGCTAATTCAATTTCCAGATGATTTAAAATGACAGCTCTCCACTGTAAGGCATCGGCTCCTTTATGAATCTGTTTTGTGCTCTCTTTCCCATACCCACGGCCATTTCTAAAGCACTATAAATTCAGGACCGTTTTCACAGTACCCACAGGAGATCATTCAAGTTTTAGTCCAGTTAATATAATACTGTGGCTGCTATTTCCATCCCCTTTGAATTTTCAGAGTCCAATTACATGCAGAGTATTTGTGGCTTTACACATAGGGAGTAGTTTTTGCAGGTGAATAGTCTTAATTTCACAACCAAAAATAGTAGAGGTGGGGAAGGACAGTGTATTTTTTTGGTAATGAGGAAAGAAACTCAAAGGTACAGACGCTAAGTTCTTTTAAATTACTTGTGGGTCATCTGATGGCATGACAGATGTCAGGTAATATTTCAAGAGGGAAAGCTGATTTGCCCTAGTTAAAAGGTACCTTCTCCAGGGTTACCAGCCTGGAATTTCAGCCTTGGGGAAAGGGGGATATTACATAGGATTTATGTGAATTTTTAAACACTTTCCTTACCAGGTCAACAGGTTGCAAGTGCTATGTTTTCACAGGAGTACTAGGTTTTAGATATTTATTTTTTATGGAAGGATCCATAGATTTTTATTCTGTTTTATTCTTAATTGTTTATTGTCCTTTTGTAACTGGATTAGCAGTTAATATCACTGTAGGCAAACCACCGACAGTCCCCACAGCTGCCTTTGATGCTACCTGGCAAGTTTTCCAAGTGCTATATTAGCCACTAGGTTAGAGGTCCCTAATTTTAGAAAAGAGATCAATAACTCAGGTGTTAGATGTTATGTTGTTCTTTTATAGATCAACAAAATGCTTCAAGGTTATTTTTAAAGTAAGGTCAGGAGGCTAAGGATGTTATGTTTTCCCTGGCTGGCCAGAAGAGCCTGGTATTTTGTTACAGACAGGGTCGTTCAGCTATGGGAGCTATTTCTGAGCGTGTGTGTACGCAGTGCTACTTATATCACCTCTTCTAAAATAGTGCATGCTTATCTTTGGATTATTTTATATGCATACCTCTCTAGCTCAGGACTCAAAAGAGAGCTTAGTCTACTAACGTGACTGCTAACATCACCACCACAGCAGTAGCTTTCCCTCTGCAGGCTAGTAGGTAATTCCAATATCCCTGAATTTCAGAGAACAGCTTGGGACTAATAATTGAAATATATTTATCTGAAGCTGAAGCTTTTCTTAAAATGACTACTTCCAACCTCCTACCAAAAGGATTTGAATCTTTCAGTGCTCGGCTAAAAATAAATAATATCACCACACCTTAAAGTTTGGGCTATGGAGTTTTTGGGCTTCATTCAAAGATCCTCTGCAACACTGAGCAAGCCAAATACTAATGGGAGAAAGAGCCCATTCCTGCCTCGCAGCACAGCATACTGCAAAAATAAAACCCAGGAAGATGGAGTTGATGATTCAGATGCTTACATTTGCTCTGTCGAAACTCTTCCCATTCCAGTGTCAATGTAGATGTCATGCAGAAAGTGTCTGCTTCCAACAACAGTACATAAAATAAGTGTTTTAGATAGAGCTTGGCACATGTTTAGCAGCTAGAAAAACTGCCAAATATTCTCCAGTTTGAGGAGAATAAAAGTCATCATGAATTCCAGTGAAGTTTAGGTAGTAGTTCTAGCTTGATAGAGGGTGGGTGGAAATCTGTAACTGAAATACTTGGATCTCTGTGAAAACGGATCTACATCTTTTAGAGTAACCTAAGAACAGAGCAACCAGTTTCAGGGGGTGGGAAGGCTTTCTTAATTTTAAGTGTTGAGGGGGGTACATGTGTGACAAAACAAAAATGTTTGTGGTTTGCTCAGCCATTATTTAGGTAAACTTTAGATCCTCACAAAAGGGTCTTCAAATGATTCCATTGTATGCATCTGATGTCAACCTTTCCTAATCAAGCTCCCTTACTTCCATGATGATTTCAAGATTTATGCACTAATAAATTTGAACTTCAGTGCAAATAGTGATAGTAATTGAAATATTTCTACATAAGAATAGAAAAAACTTCCCAGTGTAGAAAGAACAAACTCAAACCTCTTTTTTTCTAAACAATTCTGCTACTGAGATGGAAGCAGGCTAAACTTAAAAAATACAAGAAACTGCTTACACTGTTCTAGTCAGAAGTTGTTCTAGATTTTATTCTGGAGGCCTTGAATGCAGGAACCTTTATCCATGGCCAGATTAAAAGTAAGTTATCCTGAACAACCACCAGGCAGTATTGTGATAAAGGGTGTCCTGCAATAAAAAGCACCAAGTGCTTGTGAACGAGGCAGTGGCCTGTACTGCATGGAGGAACTAACAGCTGTGTACTAAAAATAAACATGGTGTTGAATAGACTTGGTTCGCTAGGAGGTTAAAAAAAAAAAAAATCCAACCCACCTGAAGTTTAACTGAACACCTATAGACTCTGTGCACAAGACAGAACTGCAGTTATTCTTTGAAGCTTGCAAGAGAGCTCTTTTCACTCTGAGGATTTCTGGTTGTGCAGAAAATGGTTCCTTCTTGTATGCCTTTAGAGCTGTGGGAGTAGCAGTCAGCTCTGGCGGGATGGGCTGGAGATGAGCGTTGGTGGTGAACTCTGCATGCCAGACTGGAGTCTTTATCTAGCACAAAAGGATGCTGTTGCCTGTGCCTGACCTACCTGAGCGTGCTACTGCGGTGTGCCAAAAAGGTACACACTTGCAGAGCTCAACACAAGTATCCTGTTAGGAATGGCAGTACTGGTGTATACTGTATTGCCTACCGGTTAGCAGAGTGCTGGGCGAGCGTATTGCCAAGCCTAGGTAGCAAGGCAAAACCCTCCTGTCCTCTTCTCCCTACTGTGCAACTGGTAGGGCCTTGACACGGTTCCTTCATTGCTCTTGGGACTGGCTGGATGGGAAACACTGGTCTTGCTACTGCTGGTCTCCGGTTGCAAGGTGCCACTTTGTCCCGAGTGCACAGAAAAGCACAAGTGATGTTCTTGGCCAGTTAAGGAAAGAAGAGTGGATTAATTTGATCATTATCTACAACTCTTGCTGACTTGGTTCTAATGTAGCATTCAAGAGTTTGGGATTAAGAGCTGCTCTTTAGCCATAAAACTGCTTTATAATGTGCAAGAAAATCTTAATTGTTAGAAGTTGGAAGTTAGGCAAAAACTGTACTAATGTATATTTAGCAAGTAAGTTCTTTCTCTCCAGCCAACCCAAATCAGGCAGAAAACTTGATGCCTGTAATTTGTCAGCAGGAGGGGATAACGGAGACTTTCCATATGAGGTATTTTAGCAAGCCACTAACTCTGCAGAGTGGGGAGCAGACAAGATATTTTTAATAACTTTTTGAGAACAGAATCTGCATGAAATATAGCAAGAACAGCCCCTGAAAGCTTTGATCAGGTACACTTCTGCAACGGAGGACTTCCATTTGTCTTGTTTGACCTCTGGAGCCTTATCATGCTGTTCACTGACAGTGCATGGGGCGAGGGCTCCTTTCCATTTCAGCCAAGTGTGTGACTTCCACGCTCCTTCCAGGCGCAGCACAAGTGACTCACTTGTGTGTCTAAGGGACACCCTGGAGAAGTGGTTAGTGGACAGACAGGGGCATCAGGCGTAGAAGAGAGGGTAGAAGAGGAATGGAAAAGAGCCAGATCTTCTGGCTGAGAATTGTTTTTTAAATTTAAAAAAAATCCCTACTTGTGGATGCTTTCTCAAAGTGAAAAACCAGCCAGTCTCCTAGCTGTAAGTTTGTGTTGCATGTCCACACTTTGACTGAGGCAAGTATGTTTGTAGTCCAGCAGCATTGCTCATGCCCCTGCTTGAAAATATATATAAATAATTCCCTTAGCTGTAGACTGTGTATGTGAATGAATCCATGGACATTTTCCATGAATGAGAGGGTGATGGGATAAAGAGTTACAGGAACATGAGAACATCGGTGCTGATCTACAGTACAGTGCTTTTGAATTATCTGCTATTCACATGCCATTTTTGTCGCCCTCAGAAAATCCAAGAAAGCCCCTGCATACACATCAAAGCACTTCGGTTCTAGTTTAGCCAGTTTCACTCATGAGAAATGTACCTTTCTGGATGATTAGCTCCATAATTTTGAGAGACTCCTAACACTTGAAGGTACTGAGAGACTCCCCTCCTAAATACTGTTTTACCTAATGTCCTCATTTCTATAATGTTCCGTAGTTTGGGCAGCTGCCCAGCTTGACCTTATAGCAATGACATTCAGATTAAGCTGAATTAGGAGAACATTCCAGCTGTAATTGTTATCTTTCTCTACTGACCTTTGTATCGACTGCTTCCTTCCTCCATTATTGAAAGGAAATTACTGGGAGCCATTTTCCAGCCTTCATCCTCTTCCTAGATTTCAGGGGGGAGGAGGGATGTGAAGAGAAAAATCAGAATATTAATACATAGAAACTTTGAAAGTATGTGAGTGTCATAATTTTCAGTGGATTTTTAAAGATGAGTTTTAATTTGAGGAATAAGATAGTGTTGCTTCATCCTAGCTGGCTATAAGGACGTTTTATCTCCTTGACTGAAGAGGGGGGTGTCCGTTCATCAGTTGAACTACTGAAGTTATAACAATTAAACTTAGGCTGGTTCGAATATGTAATAGAGGTAGCAGACTTGCAATGTGTAAATGAAATTACTGTGCTATTTTTTTCAGTTACTCTTATTCTGTGGTTGCCCCTCTGCCTCCAAAAGGAATTCCCAACTTGTGGGCAATTCCAAGATGTTGAAATCTCATTTTAATCTGTAATCAGAAAGAAAAATAGTGTTCTTGGTGTATTTTGCAAAACAGAATATTTTGTTTCAACTTTATCAAAATATTTTGACATTTTCCTGTCTAAAGTGAATGATATGGACATGTTCTTGGAAGAGTTTAATTTCACTGAACCAATATTTCTGATGGAAATCTTGTCAGAAAACGATGAAAGTTTTCTTCGTGCTGTACCAGTCATAAATCCTCAACATGTTAGTAAGGTAGGAGTTATTAGTGGAAAAAGAGACCACTTTGGGGAGGAGGTGAGTGTGGATTTAGGTGAGACAGCACAAGCTGTACCAGGCTTTGCTCACCCATGTGTAGTCTGTAAGCCACTGCTTAGCAGTGAGATACAAGGTGCAGCTCCTGGAATAACTTAAAATGAAACAAATATCCCGAAATATGCGTCTGTAACTAGGTGCCATTGCATACCTGCTATCAGTAGATATGGTTTTGGCCAGGTTATGTGAATTATTGAATATCTGTTTTTAATTAAAGAGTTATTATAATAATTACACTTGGGGACCAGAAGGACACGCCAAGCCTAAGCACACTTACCACTTCTACCCCATGCTCTATCGATACATCTGAAAGACTTGGGAGTTTCTTCACTAAACAATTGAGAACCATTTTGGTAAACTGTAATCTAGTGTTTGAGGATTTGACACTCAGAGCTCCCAGTTACAGTAATGTATTCTCAATTTCTGCAGGGTGTGGCATTGGCATTTTGAGATTCATCCTTGAATCTTTTGCAGTAGGCAGAACACATTCCTTTTAACCTTCTCCCATGATACTTTACAAAAAAATTATTAAATTGCAATGTTCTAAGAGGAAAGACTGATAATTGCTATTTAAAAAAAAAAAGGAACAAAAAACCACACCAACACCCCACCCCAGAACAGCCTAAAAATGGGCTATTGATTTTTAGCCTCTTAATAGCATAGGACACATTGACATTTCTTTTATTGTCATGAATAAGCCAATAAGTCATTTTAATTACTAGCTTCAATGATTTTATACACTGATGTAAATAACATTGTTGTGTCAGTTTCATCGATTTGACTCGGAACCGCTGCGTGCCTGAAGGACATTGCAGGATGCTGTTGTGTATTCCCTCTTGACTCTACCAACAGCGCACACGTCAATGTAACACACAAAACTTATTTTTCTTTGAAGTCAGCTGATGTGTTTTTCTGTGTTCTGTTGATTGATTCCTGTATGAAGTGCGCTACAGGCACCCTGAACCAACAATATACGTTTCAGTCTAAGCAGAGGTACAGCAGTAACAGCTTGAAGATGTTTCTGAAGCTTTCCAAAGCCTAGCCCTCACTAGGTGATTCCCATTCAGCAGCAGGGAGCATTCTGCATTGATGCCATTGTGCGATTTTGCTAATGGCTTTCACTAAGGACAAAATGTGTCTCACTGTTAAAGATTTTGGGATGAAACCTCGGGAATGCACAGCTCGTGTTCGGTGAGACGGGGCAAAGCAGTCCAGACTGCTCTAACGTGTTCTGCTGTTGAAAAGAGGGATCATACAGCGCTGAAGGTTTTTTTTTTTTTTTTTTCTCTTAGGTGCCCAATGGGAAATCAAATCAACACCTTACAGAGAAAAGAAAACAAAGTTACTTTGATATCAAATATGCCTTTTTAAAGATTGCTATCAGGCTTTTCAGAAATATTTAAACTTCCTTCTGGGATCAAACTCTTGTTTTCTTTGAGAACTGCAGTTAGGAGCAGGGCTTTTTTTTCTGCCTGTATCACTATGACTTATAGCCCATACTTATTTTAATAAGAGTCCTGCTGTTAGAACTTTCCCAAATACTTCTCAACTGGTCTTAGGTACTATTTTTTTTCCCCTGTCAGTATTATAACCTTGGAGAGAATGTTCCCTTTGTTCTTTCTCAATGAACCATAGAGAACCTGATATAATGGCTCAGAATTTTACTTGACAGGACTTGTGATGGCTGAAGAGATGAGGATGACATGAAGTTATGAAGCCCCAGAGCTCTATATTGTTATTTCACCCCATTTCAAAACAACCTTGCAGAGGCTGCGAGGGGATTGAGATTCTTTTTTGGTATTGTTGGTTCTTATCTAGTGAGAAGTAAAAAACCAACAAGGAATCAAATTTATCCTGGGGAAGTCAGGTTTTTAGGCAGACGGGTGAGTTGCCATTGAGTTTCGGAGGCTCAGGTTGAGTTTGGTGTTTGTAGTATGCCTGGACACGTTGACTTAGACTGCAGTGTCTGGAACAGCCTTTCTCATCGCCTGTGTGAGAGCAGAGGCATCCCAGGGCTTTGTGCTGGGGCAGCTGAGTTGGGAGGGAATAACAGGGGCAAAGCCATTAGAGGACACCCTTGTGAATCCTCCCAAAAGGACCTGCTCTGTCCGAGATGCTACAGGGTTCTGTGACCGTGAATGACAATGCTCTTCAAAGTCTCTAATTTAAGAAGCTTTTTGAAGCAATTGCCTTCGTACACGTGCTTTTATCTGATCTTTCCCATAGAGTTCTTCAGTGCACATGCTGATTTAGGGGTTCGCAGCATTGAGTGGTCCCACAGAGCTCAACTTGGCACTAATACCAGTCTTAGGGACAACAAACAACTTGGTATCAGCATTATCTGGCTTAGGTCTGCAGGCATTACACTCCTCTTTCTCCTCTGGTGCTCCCCCAGGTTGGCTCTGCTCTGTCACTAAGACACGGTGAAGTGTCACTAGTGACCACCTTCAACCGCTTGCAGTACGATGTCTTCACTAGCGTTGTCACAGTGTCACCCTGATGGCAAATGACAGTCTGAAGACCTATGTGACCAGAATTTAAAAAATTTCCTGTTTGCACAAGAGCAGCCACTCCTCTTTCTAGTTGGCAATGCACAACCAGGCTTAAAGAGTTTGGAAAACACATTTATTTATGGTGTTCCTTCAGTCTGCTGTGCACCTGCAGTTACAAACAGGGAAAACAAACAAACAAACCCACAAAACAAAACAAAAAAAACCCCCAAAAACCCCAACACCCCAAACTTTGTTTTGTATGACCCAAAAAGTGTTTTCAACCAGAAAAAGTGCTGCCTAAGTTACAAGTTAACGCTTGGATATCTACCTCCCAGTTAGATAGACTGATGCTTCTGAAGTTCATGTAGTTTAGGTTCCTGACTTGCAGTTACGAGAGCTTTGGCCAGATTAATGGATGTTGTCCAAGAAAAGCACCTTTTTTGTTATATGGTTGTTCTAGGGTTAGGGCTTAAAATTAATTTGTGTAAAACTTGCAGTGAAGAGTAAGCTTTGCCCAAGAAAACTCACCCTTCTCCTCCACATACTCAATTAGAGATTAATGACCCTTATTAAAAAAAAATATTGTTTCAACTTTGTACTATAAAGTAAATGAGAAACAAAAGCTGCTGCTTCAGCAAAAGCCTCCAATTTTTGTTGCATAGGTCGCTTTTGAAGATGCCCTTTGGTCACTGCACTGTTTCATAGGTGTTTTCCTCAGCGATGTTGCTCCTGAAATAATTTGGAAGCATACCTTCTGTGAAGCCAGCCCTTAGTATATCAAAGATTTCACTGAGTATGTCATACATTAAGTGGTGTCCACTGTGACCTGAAGCAAAAAATAGTTCATACCCTAAGAATGTGGACTGAAAATGCCTGACTGCTATTTACAGGCTTAAAAAATATTGGCTTGTAGTACAAAAGATGCAGCTGGCCAATACAGAACTGTACTTAGAAATTAGTGTGAAATCCACACAAGCTCTGAGGTGGGTATCTGAGTGAGGCTAAGGTTCTCGTTTCCTAGACGTGCAAGGGGGTGGCAGTAACTAACTTCTCCGTACCCTACATTAGAAGTGGAAAATGCTTGGTTGGATAGCTGGGCACCATGTTGTTATCTGCACCAAAAAAACCCCCATAACAGTGCTTTGAAAAGTGTGTGCGTGCTGTCTTGGCAACAAAGTCAATGCCATAAAGTGTGTTCTTCCCCTCATCTATGTTACTCTGACAGTCTGCACCTACATCAGCCCTTCCCACTGAGCTGAGTCATGGCCATGCAAATGGTCATTCCTAAAATACGAGAGCTAAAAATCGGTTCCCCGGAATCATCAAGGTAATTGCAAGGCTGAGAGGTGCTGCTGGCCTCAGACAGTTTCTCCGTCTTCTGAACCCAAGCCTGAAGCCTTGGTGACCACTCTAACGAAAAACAATAGGCTCTGCCCCCACATGGCTGAATAAGCTGGACTTTGGCTCTGTTTTCACAAATTAACTGTTTTTACTGCAGGAAGACTTACTTTCTTTCCAGTTTTCTGTGGCTTTTTTTCTATTGTTTTTTCATTCCCTTCTTTTTCTTTTTTCCCCTTTTCACCTTTTTTCTGCAAAGCCATCTCCTGTTTGGCAGCCAGTTCTCCAACAACCTGAACGAGACAGAAAGGGATGTGAAGAGCTGGTCAAATATTTCCATGTGCAAGGTGTGTTGGCCATGTGCTGCAGGAGTTAATGAACCAGTGTGTATTTTTCCTCCCTGGCTTTCAGCTTTCCAGTACTGGGGAAACAAGACATCTGACATGTTGCTTAGTAGCCCTCCGAACTCCATAGCGGCTACACAGAAGTCCTTTTAATTTATGCTGGGGACACTCCCACCTGCAAACTTTAGGATAGGTGCTGACTATCCCAATAAATAGGGAAAGTGGCAATTTCTATGTCTGCGAGGGCTTTTATGGAGTAAGACCAATTCCTGAAACCACCCAGAAGCACAATATTCTAATGATGTACAACTTAAAGTTCCCTCTGGACTTGGACTCTGATTACGAATTTGTCCAAGTGTTTCTAAGGCAGATTGATTTTATAGAGCTGGATTTGGAGAGGTTGCCCTGAGGCATGTCTAATTTCAATATGTGTCAAAAGACTGAAATTGTTCTAGTGGGCGAGAGAGATTGGATAGAGACACTGTGACAAATGCCGACAGGTAGACAGGGATAGCCCAACATCTTTATCCCTGCAAGCCAGTAGCAGCTGATAATTGGGTACAGCTACATCCATTTCCACAATTTTAGTTCCTGGCCATTTACACTTTATTATCTGAAAAAGGCAAAGGGTGAAATTTGCTTTTTCTACCGTTTTCTTGTTCCCAGGCACCTTCCATTGTGCTCTCTTGTCCCTGAGAGGAATTCCAAGGTCATTTACTGGTGAGTGTAAATCAGAAAATCTGTGGCCACTCAAGTTTATTAATGGACCATTAATATTGACAGTACCATGAAAGAGTAAAAAATAAAAAAATTTCCAACTGTAAGACATGTTTCCTGTAACAATAAAAATATTTGTTTTCTACAGAATGCCTTTTAATGCCCTGAAGACTGGGCAGTGGAAAGGGGACGAGGACAAGGGCTATACTTTGCAGCCACTGGAATTTCATTAGTAGCTTTCCCCGAGCATTTCAGTGCCTTACATATTTAATTAAATATGTTAATTTAAACCACCAGCACCGTTCAGCCATATCTTGCGGTGATAAGCAGTGAAACATTTCATTCCCTGGGATAAATTAACAGATTGACTAGAGTTCAAAATAGGTTTTTGGTGTCCCAGCAGGCCTTGTTGTATCCAAAACCAACAGAGCTACTCCAAGTGTACCCTTTACTGTACC